TTTTGTTTTTGTTTGCATTTTTTATCTGTTTTTTATTTTATTTTTTTTTTATTTTACAGCTGTTGTTCTTATTGTTGCTGCAGACGCGGCAACCCACCAACAACATCACCTTCACGGCCGTCAACGACAACATTTTCATTTTTGTATACTGCAGCTGGTGCCATATTCTTTTGCTGTGCTTTGGTTGCTATTTGCTGCTGCTGATGGGAGCAAACACTCACGCCTTCGCTCAGTGAATGAGTTTTTTAGTTTGTACTCACACGCCCTCACCACGACTTATGCATGTATGTATGTACGTATAAATGCTGGTAAAGCACAACCTGACGAGTTGTTATTTAACGCTGCCAGGATTTGTATACTATTGGTACTGTTAACTATTTGTTGTTGCTGTTGTTGTGGTAGCGCTGTTGCCATTTTTACCCGCTGTTTACTATTTTCATCATACTGTTTCGCTTTACATGTGTAGGTTTGCCGGAGTATGTGCTCCTAGCTTTGCCATTTTTATTTTTTAAAGAAGTTTTTTTTGCATCGTCGCTGAATAATAGTGGTAAATGTGGCTGGAAAAATACATGCGATGCTATTTACAAGTTTCTCTGTATATGTATACATATAAACAACAATCAAGCAGATATATATATATATATGCTATATATATTTATACATCCTGCTATAATTTTTCCTATTTATCGGTGTGTGTGTGTGTGCTTATAAAAAAAGTGCCTATAACTTTTTCCACAACACTTTTTAATGATTAAGTGTTTTTTCATTTCGTTTTTTTGTTGTTGTTTCCTTCTCCTTTTGTTTTTTGTTCTCTCTCTTTCTCTTCAATTTTTACTTTTGCTTTAGAGTGGCTCTTCCCGCAACTTCTATAAAGTGCATTGTTTCATTTATGTTTTTTTTATGTTGCTGTTGTTGTTTTTAGTTTCATTTCTGGCCGGTCTGGCTGCTGTGCACAGCATGTAATGACATTGCACATTGCAAATCATTGGGAACTGCAAGTGCAGACAATGAATTCTGACAGGCAAAACAGTGTTTGGCATACCATACATACTCATGCATATGTGTACGTGTGTAGTTGTAACTTCTGTGCATGTGTAACTGAAGAGGCGTAAGCAAGCAATGGCGAGTCAACAGGCAACAATCAGCAGTGCAGCAAACGAGCAGCGCTGAAAAAATCGCAGCACGCAAAGCTTTAAACCAAACAAATCCAAAGGCGCATGGTAACATATGGACATACATACAGAAGTACATATGTAGGTTTGCACTTCATGGCGAGCAGCGGCGCGCTCAAGTCTGTTTATAAGTTTTGCATTTCTATGCATTTATTTTATTTGTACACTGAAGATAGTCTGCTGCGTCCCACCATATCAATGTCGAGAAGAAAACGTGCTGGGCTGCTTCTGCTTGGACTCTAGCGATAAGGCGTGTGCTTCTATATTTGTATATACATATGTTACTATGTAATTAAATTGTATGGCTGTACAAAGTCATCTATCTATATGGGTTAGGGTCGAAAGTTCGCTTAATTATACGTACATTAATATATACATATGTGTATATAAAAATTCTCTAAAATAAAAGTGATTATTTAAGATATATACATATGTGTACATAAAAATGCTCTAAAATAAAAACGATTATTTAAGATACAGACTCCTTAAATATTATTTTTATATGGTTGTAAAGCTATTGTTTTTGTACAAAATAGATTTTTTTATTCAATGTATATATATATTCCGCTTTGTAGACGCTGAAGCAATTTTCGATCGAGCTACTCCTCCAATTTGTGGTTTTGCGTCGAACGGCTGTTGGTTTTTTTATGTCAGATATACACTCGGAGTTGTTGACATTCCTTGCCGAGGGGCGACCGCAATTAGAAAATTTAACCGAATTTTTCATTTAAATTTATTTTTTATAACTTTTCGATGACTTTTATTCGATATAATCTCCCTTAGCTTCTATACACTTATTCCGATGATCCTACAATGTTTTTATGCCATCCATATAATGACTTTCCGGAAACTCTGCAAAATGTTGTCGTTCTTGTAACCCTAAAAAAGTAGTTTTTAGAAAATATTTCGGGGGGCGGATAAAAATCCGGATCGTTCCGGTATGAGGATCCGACTGTCACGGGAATTATTGGATTTTAGTCGCCTCTTACGACAGACAAGCCTTACCGTGGATGAATTCTTAATCCCCCATACCCGTCTGCGGACGTAATAGTTTCTTCTTTCGACGAAAACCGCTTTTCACGAAGGAATTGTTTCAGGTTTCAGAAGAGACAGTTGTCGCTGGGAGCCAAATCTGGGGAAAGCGGTGGATGCTCAAGCAATTGAATTTTGACATTGTTAAAACACTTTTGTGAGCAGGTGCATTGACTTTCTGGCGGTAATCAATTAACATAATTCTTCTTGCATTCCAAAAAAACTGATGTCATAACCTTTTTTGCTGATCGTTGTAACTTCACCTGCTTTGTGGAGGTGAACAGCAAGCTTTAGTCCAATGTAAACGTTTTTGTTTCTGTTTAGGATCTTGGTGATAGATTCGAGTCTCATCCATAGTTATAAAACAACGCAAGAAATTGGTTTTATTCTGCTGAAAATTCTTCAAATTATGCTGATAGATTTTTTTCCATCCAGTTTTTTTTTTTTTTAAATTGTTAAAGTGTGCGGCACTAAACCTCCAAACAGATTTTCATATGTACATAATTCTCCATGAAAGTTATGAAGTCCACATTTGTCTGAGATGCCTGTGGCGTTAGTAATTCCACGCTAAATCAAATTACTAACAATATTTTGAGCTTGCAACAATGATTTCTGGCGTGGTTGCGGTTTTTGGCCGTCCTTCGTGTGGATCGTCTTCGAGCCTAGTGCTACCACGTTTAAATTCAATGATATTAAATTATTTCCATATTAAAAACATACTCTGACGCGTCAGAATGACTTGTAACTTTGCATGTCCTCTCACGACCGATCTGCCAACTTGAGAAAAAAAATTGGAGCTAGTAGCGGTATTTCTTGGAGAGCGCAGAAGCTTTTTAACCAACCGTACACTACTATTATTTCGACGGTCCAAAAATTATAATTAGTTCAATGTAGCCTCTAAGAAAAAAAATGTTTTTATGAAAGAAATCTATATTTCTAAGGGCCAAGGGTTGATAAAATAAAAAATACAAACTCTCCATAAAATTTTATTTAAGAAATGACGATAATAATTCCGTCTTAAATAGAAGCTCAACGTGTTTTAATACTAAACCAGTGTTTGACCGCCACTTCGGCCGCATAGAATTTGAATTCGATTTTTCCGGGTCTTTTTTTCTTTTATAATTAAATAATTATTGTTTTAAAACGCTTGATATAAAAAAACTGTTCCACTTATTGAATTTGGCTAATTCTTTGTTGCTATATCTTGTAAAAATTAAGTGAATCGAAGCAGACAAAAAAGATTTTTCAAAACAAATTAGTCCAGGATCCATTACCAGAAAGAAAATATGTTTTCGATATTAATTAGGCATGAAGCGAAATGTTTATGTAAATCAAATGAAAAATTCCATTTTCTCGTATAGATCATTTCCCGGTCCCCTTATCGCCAGAATAAGTATTCAACATCTGAGCTTATGCAAAATGTTGCTTGTGCACCAAATTTTATGAAAATCGAACTAGTTTTCGAATGGATCGATGTCAGGCCTACTTTTCGGAAAATACTTACTTTTCGGATGCATATGTCAAACACAGAAAACTTGTTTCCCTTTCTTACTTATATATGGATATTTTATATAGGCTTCGCCGAATTATCATACATTTTCTTTTCCATCATTTGCATAATCACCACTTGCGCAACGATATTTGAATCAAAATCACCCATCATAGATTCTTTTCGCCGTTTGCCACCAATTCGAAATACCAAGAAAAGCCTAGGTTCTTTCTGTCTTCTCTATAGCTATACTGAAGAATACAAAACTATTCCAACTTCGCTGTAGAACGCATACAGCTCATCCTCTAATCGGGTGCGGTATTTGCGGTAGTTGCCAATGCCAAAGTATTTCCCTCGAAAGCTGTTAACGTCAACTCATTAGAGGTACTCATAGTTCACGCTTCTGCACCATATAAAAGTAAAGGAAAAACGAAAGATGTGAATAGTTTAATCTTTGGTTGTCGAGGAAGGACTCTACTTTTCAATTGTCTCCTCGGTCTAAAGTAGCATCTGCTGATTCTGAGTTGAATTTCAAGGCTGGTATTGGGATGCTGGTTCCAAGATAAACGAAGTTATCTACGATTTCAAAGTTATGATATTGATAGCTGGGGAAATTTTGATTCAAAGAAAAGAAGTGAAGCTAATGGGTCTGATCGGGTCTCGTTCATTGCCAGAAAACTCGTTGGGTAACGAAAGGCTCGGGAATGCCCTTCTTCCTAAAATGCCCTACAAATGTTCATTCTCTTCAAAGGCTTCATTATCTTGCCCGATAACAACTGAAGAAATGCCAAAAGTCCAAGTGAGTGATAGTCTATATACTCATCCCTTCTGCCATGCATAGAGTTTCTGTTTATCGAACTTATTTTTATGGAGAAATACATTTGCATATTTATATAACGACGCGACTACACGAAAAAATAAACGAATACATAATTGTAGATTGAAAATACTTGTAGATGTATAATTGCAGATAATGCAGTGTATAATATGGACTTAAACAAATATATCAATGAACATTTCCACACTCTCAAGGAATGGGCAGAAAGGTGCTGAGTTCCTACAAAAACCTCCTACTTGTTGTATTTATCTTCACACTGTGTTTCCAAATGATTTTTTCATACCGAATTTTAGTTGCACACAAACTAACAAATAAAAAACTCCTTTAACGCTCTGGCTGTTTTAGCTTTACCATATTTCATATTCTATATAACTAATATTGATGCAAAACACCCACAATATTAAACTCACACTCAAACGTTCGCATACACACACAAACACAATGACTATCTTTCAACAAGTTCAATTACCTTCCGTTTGATGGGAGTGGAAATCCGTCCAATGTCCATGAAATTTGCGGTGTTGGATTTCCGGCTGCTGAACATTTCAAGCTCACAGCCGGTCCCGGCTGCAATGTTTGTTCGATGAAGCTATAAAGCAGCACTGGCGGTGCATCTACAACGAAAATGCAAACAAACAAAAAAACATACGAATCAGTATAGGGGAAAAATAGGCAAAACATCAGCGCCACACAAAAAAAAGTCTTGTTTCAATGAAAAATTGTGCATGTATATGTAAATATGTGTATGTATTTGTGTATAAAATGAAAAGATATAGGCAGGCAGTCGGCGAAATAAGCAAGCAAGCGGTGCAGGAGAGGCGGCGGCATAAGTGAATGGTTGAGCAGCGAATGGCAGCTGAACGAATGACTGAGTGCAAATGAATGAATGCGGTGAATGTAAATGACAGAGTAGCGGTGCTATGGAACCGTTATGCATGTGAATTGCATAAAATAGTGCAAAAAAAATTTATTTTTGTTATATATTTCTTTATTATGTAAATTTGCTGTATTTGTAGCGCATTTATATACAATTTCATATATATAGAAATATTTATATAAATATGTTTAACAAAAAAAAAACACAGAAGCCAACAAAATTAAAGTGAGAATTTCAAAAAAGCATAATTATTTTTATCCTGTAATAAAACATTTTTTTCTTCTTAATAACGATCATCAAATATAACTTAATTGTTACGGTTTTATAAACCAAATATACTAAGATTCCAACAACTTGAACTTCAACATATACATATATAAATATATATATACACTTATTCATAGTTTCAAAATAAAATAAATAAATAACTGTACTCACACTCTTATTAAATAATATATAATATATAAATTTACATATATGTACATACGCTACGTCATTTACAATTCTCAATCGTTCACATAAATTTTATTTAGTAGCTTGCAACGCGCACTAATTGAATTGCACTTGTGTAAGGTCATATTGGGGTCAATGACTTTTCATAAAAAAGTTTTTTGAAAGAGTGGCCAACAAATAGCCTTAACTGCGCTTTTACTAGATTTTATGATTTTTGTAATAAAAGGTTAAACCTCAAAACAGTTTTCGACTTCATCTGTTATAAAGAGTTTATACAATAAACATAGTTAGTAAAAAAAAAATTAATATTTCAACTTTCAAATAATGTAAAGGAATTCAAATGAGAATGGAAATTAGGAAATCCAATTAATAGGCTAAAACTTATTTCCATGAAATTGAAAAACAAAGGAATGTAAATAAAAATTCTGCTATCAGTTATAAAAATATACCAGCGCATAATCTTAAACAACAACCTCGTTATAATTTTCTTAAACTGAACTAAATTGTCTCTTCAGTACATAAAAAAGCAGTAGCGACTAACCAAATCAAAAAATTAACAGACATTTTTAAAAATTAAATTTCGGCTCAGCTCTATAGAAAATTAGAAAAAATAAAATAAATTTTTTAATATTTTCGGTATCTATTATTTATTATATATACATAGATTCGGTTATACCACCCGATTTGGCACCTAAAATTGTGCAACTATCTACAATTTTAGAAATAAAACTTACAGCTTTATTATTATTATTATTGAATATTATTTTATTTTATTTTATTTTATTTTATTTTATTTTATTTCATTTTATTTTGTATTATTTTATTTTATTTTAGTTTATTTAATTTTATTCAATTTTATTTTATTTCATTTATGCGTTTTCCTGTTATTTAGTTGTTACTCATACGTCCTGACAAATTTCAAGAGGAGCGCCTAAAACCGAAGATTTTTTAATTATCCACTAAGCACCACTTTCCGAAGTGAATTGTATTTCAGAATCTCGTTATAAATTTGTCAGCAATTTTGTTACAATTCTCAGATTTTATTTTATGAATATTTACAATGGACCGCCTACAGATTTTGGGCAAAACGGATATGGAAATAATTTCCCTGGTCATTATTAAATACAAAATTGAATAATTTCCGTTTACTTTCATACCTTTCTATACGAGGTGGGATTGGCGGGAAATACATACACATACACGATATCAAAAGACCGGAAATTGAGCGAAAATCCATTATTACACTAGCATGTGTACATTCAAGTATTTCAATAAATGGCTTTTACCACAAATCAGACAATTGTAAAGTCGTATGATAGGATAAATCATTAAAATATTGAGCTTTACTTATTTTAGCTTATTTTTAAAAAATAAATATTGTTTGTTATTTTCGCAAAAATAAAAAATTATTGGATGTGCATAGAAGTCACGAATAATTAATGCTCAAGAAAATAAATATTGTACTTTAAGTAATAAATTATGTAAATGCTTACATGTGTACAGACCAGTTCAAAGATAAATTATATAATTAATAAATTTATGCATGCACAATATCCGCTCCATTGCTTACCTCCCAATTGCAATTCCGCTGTCGCCTGAAAGGTGTCGCCTTCGGGTCGCCGCACCACACACTGATACATGCCACGATTCTCACGACTCACACGCGTCACCATCAACGTATCCTCAATGCGCCCCGACGACGGCAACTGTCGTCCATCTTTGTACCAAAGAATATTCTGCATGCCTACCGGACTGCCGTTGCTAGTGACAATGCACCGAAACTCCGCGTTGCCGCCCATATGTACACTCAATATATTGGGTGAGATCTCCACTTGTATGGGTGTGGCTACGGATAAGCGTAGTTCTGCGCTTGCCTCACCGCCGACATTGCTAGCGGTGCACTTGTAGACACCCGAATCTTCGCTAGTAACCGCTTCGATGGCAAGTATGGGGCCGAGTAGGCGCACGCGTGGTCCGCTGAGAACTGGTAGTGGACCGGGGCCGTTATGCGTGTACCAACTGGAAGTGAGAAAGAAAAAGATAGATTATTAGCAATTATTATATATTTTGAGGAAAATGAGACTAACAACTTGGAAATTCAATGGGCTAAGAGTACAAAAATAAAAATAGTTTAAAAAACTCACGCTTATCATACACTTTTTAAATTACTCATTCACTGCACTTTTCGCCTATTGCGGTGATATTTAGTTGCCAGCAAACACATCACTTTGAATCGAAATTTGCATTTTGCACATTCGTATAGACACATTTTTGATTCGATTATTGTTTCAAAAGTCCTCACTTTATAATACATTTCTGAGACTTACAAAGTTAGCTCTCAAAAATACTTTTTAGGTCCCCTGTTGAATATATTTTACTAAAAAAGTCAGTTCTTTCCAAAAAATAGCATCATCCGAATTTAAGAATTTTGGGTTTACTTGGAAATCACTGAAAAGGTCTCACCTCTGACCACTGCTGAAATATATTCCCGATTTTAAGAATTTTAAAATTAAAAAAAATATCCACACTTAAAACAGCTTAATACTTATTTTAATGTTTTTATAATAGTATAAAAATCCTTAGGGCAGAGTTAAAATCTAAGATATTTTAAAATAAAAAAAATAAATAAATTTATATGAAATAAATATCTTAATTAAATTATGCTTCGTATGCTAATTTATGCGGCCTATAGAAATTTTTAACCTTAATTAAAGGCGCGAAAACAGAGTAAATTTTCTGGATATAAAAATTTTTACTTATATGCCTGCTATGCAAATACGTAGCTCAATAATCTCTCTCGTAACACACACACTTTCCCAGCACTCATGTACCGTTTGAATTTTCCATTTTTACATCAGTTTTTGCTTTTCATGTAAATGCAGTCATGTGCGAAAAAGGTTGTCATTATTCATCAATCAAGAAATATTAATTTCGCAACGGATATATGAAATAACAATAGCATTTTTCTCATACTTACATGAGTGAGTTGCATATGTATATGTGTCTGCAGGATTTTCTTTTTTAAGTCTTACCATTTTCTTCGGTAAAGCAAATAACTTCTGAAGCAATTTTCGGCCTATCTTCCACTCTAATTTGTGGTTTTTCCTAAAATAGAGGCACCTACAATTTATTCTAAACTTTTTCAGAACGGAAGATGGATTTTCATGAAGAGCTCTTACTCTATCGCAGGGCTTCACATTCCTTGCCGGAGGGGCGAACTTAAATAAAAAATTAATTTTAGATTTTGGTCGAAGCGGAACTCGAATTCCGGTCTTCCAAACGGCCGTATCCAATGCTAACAACTCTGCTCTTGCATACAGCAACAAATTCTTACGCACTCATATACATTTTTAAAATTTTTTCATGTTTAAATATTGTATGAAAAATTTATGAGCGTAAACAAACATTCGATCATCATATCCTCCATTTTAAATGAACAATTGCAGAAATACATATAAGAATTTCTCTTGATAAATGAATTACTGACAGTCTAAAAATAAAATTTATTCGTTTTTATTTTATTGTATGCAGTGGGGGAATGCACACATTTGCAGAATCCTTAATACACTCAAACTCAATCGATTTTTATCGTATGTGAATTATTTATGTAAAATGAGAAATTCATCTTAAAAAACTCTTCTGAGGTGACTTCGTGGTAGAAAGGAGAGAAAATTAAAATTATATTTTCATCAATATGAAAGCAATTGTATTTGAGTTGTGCGTTTAAATTAATTATATTTTATGTTCAAAATATTTGTATATAATGTTTTTCTTGTTTTTTTAATATGGCGTACAGTTTTTGAAAATTTACGATGCTCTTACGACTATAAGAAATTACATGAAGAATTCAAAAAAGATTTGCTCAAAAATTTAAATGTTCAATTTTAATATAATTTAAAATCACATATTAATTTTAATATATTTAGTATCAAAAAGAAGACAGAGCGAACTTTGTTCCGATAATTTAAGTAAGGGTTGAGATAATTTTCATGAACGTAATCAAGAAAAACTAAGCTGCGGCCCATATAAATGTTTACTTTAAGCACCCCACTAGACCCAATATAAAATGGTTCTGAATCATTTTTTTCGCGAACCATACCATACCATTCCATACTATCCATTCTAAAACTTAATTTTTGGTTTTCCTTTTTTTAAATTTGAAGCAAAGGAGGCTTCTTACTTTAGTTGAACTGAAGATTAAATTTTTTATGAAGAAGTGGACAAATTTAAAAACCCGTTTTTAAACCGTTAGACTAACTTTCTTATTTAGGTGGATACCTCCTAAAATGGTAAAAAAAAAACATTTCTATGTGAATAACATTTCTATATGAATCAATAACTCTTCTATTGAAACTACTTATATTTATGATCGAATTTACAGTACACCAATATTTTTTACCAGGCAAACTTAAACACATTTTTTCTTTCCGTCTATTTTGTTAAAGAATATCTTTTTTTTTCAAGATAGGCCCACGGAACCTGAAAGGAGATCAACGAGTGGTTGAAAAAATTTGGATGATCGTGTCTATGCCAAATTACTTTATTACCTACCTATTCCAATAGCTGAAACTAGTTAAGACTTTTCACCATTCTTTAAATATTTATTTTTTGAACACAATATTGAAAGCTAGAACAATCTTTGGCTGACACTCATGACATAAGTAAAAATAAAAGGGTAGACATCTTTTTAAGCTCTTTACGGAAAAAATTGTCAAAATCCACATATTTTTAAAGAAACGTTGTTTTCAATTTTTCTTTGATTTTCAAATATAATATATTGCAGGCACACAAAAAATACTAGATTTTTTTATATTGTTTTATTTTACTTTTTCATTCTTTTACTTTATTTTATTTTATTTTATTTTATTTTATTTTATTTTATTTTATTTTATTTTATTTTATTTTATTTTATTTTATTTTATTTTATTTTATTTTATTTTGTTTTATTTTATTTTATTATAATTTATTTTATTTTATTTTATTTTTTCGTTTTATTTTACTTCTTTATATTAAGTTTTTTTCTTTTATTGTAGTTTATTTTATTTTGTGTATATATTTTAATTTGTTTTATTTTCTGTTATTTTTATTTTTGTTTATTTTAATCTTTCTTATTAATTTTTTTTTCGCCATATATAAATCCTATTGAGCACTAAGAGAAACTATTTGTGAGTTTCTCGTAGTTGCATTTGTCACAAATTGGAATTTTTGTCATTTCCGGCGAATGACTTTGCCAGCTATTAAAAGTACAAACTGCATTTACCGAATATATTTACAGAATAGTCAGTTACTTAAATAGTAAAATAGTTGTAAGGAATATCTGTTTGGTACAGAAAAAGTGCACTAAAACGGCGATGTCATACGGTAAAATCATGCAAATTCAAGTACAACTAAAACTATTTTATATATATATTATGTAAAGATATGTCACAGCATTTCCGTAGCACATACTTGCGGACATATTTGCAAGCATTTTTGCGCATTTTAAGCTCAAGCAATTGTTAAAGCATTTGAGGAAAGCTTTTCCCGTGACATTCTCAGTCGCTCACATATAAATATGCATTTTGTGCATTTCTATGTATTTCGAGTGTCGCCCGCTCACTCTAAGCGCAACCATGGTAAATAAATGGTGGCGTTGACACTTTTGACACAAATTGATTATTTTCGTAGCTAAACATATGCAAGCAGCAAGCAAAACGAGCGAACTTTTGCACACACTTAAGTAAACAAACAAGCAGACAAGTGGAAAATCACAACAAACAACAAGCTACAACAAATAGCAAATATTGTGTGCAACTGCAGCGGGAAAACAACACAAACAGACGCTCTGCAAATAACAGCAAAAGACTGGAGACATCAAAATGGAACACGATGCTGGATTTGAAGGAAGAGAGAGCAACATGACAATACAGGCAATTCCGATTGTGAATGACTGCCAAAAATATCTAACGAACCAATGCATAAACATATGTGAGTGTGTAAGAGCGTAAGTAGGCAAGCCAAAGCAAGTGGACTCGAAACACAAAACACACGAAAAAATAGAAAATATGAATTTAAAATATTTTAAAAGAAATAAATATTTAGTAAAATTTTTTTTAAGTTGAGCTGTTTAAAGAGAATTTTTTTTTAATTTTGACATCTAAAATGTTTTAAAATTTTTATGAGAGGCTTTCGCTAAGTCTACGTGTAGGTTATGTTTACTACTGGGTATAATAAAATATGAAGTGTAAACCATTAAGGAATAGACAGCGAATTCAACTTGGCAGCAGTATTTGAAAGCAATCAAAATACAACACGCGCAATTGCTGTCAAGTGCAGCAGAAAAGTGCAAATGTGAGCTTGGATTCCTTGACAGCTGCCAACGGAAATAGTAAATGCAAGTATATAAAAAGTTACATATTATAACAGTAACTGAAAACTAACTACATACACAAATTCGATAAAGTACAATAAAAAGAAATCTACTATTTTTGCATTAAATTTAGATTTTATTTTATTCAAAATATGAATTATCCAAAGGCCAATGAAGCGATCATCCAAATCACTCGCCATAGATAGGAACATTTCTGACTATAAGCTGGATTCATAAGAACCTCCAAAGTGAGCTCTTGGAGCTTCAGGCGAGTCACTTTCGATATGTATGTCAAGGAAGTGGACTCGAGCCTCGAGCCTATAGCCTCGCTTTGTTCTGATGAAACAGAATTCGCCTGCTTTAGACAACGCTGGTAGATTGCTTTCTTCAGATATTCAGTCAGACAGTTGGTGTTAGCATAGGTCCAAATCAAGATTTCGACCGTGGGGAGCAGCTCATATTGGATGATTCCTGGCAAATTCACACAACACACAACTAAACCTTCTTGACCGATAATTCTGGCGATCACAACCGTCCACCGAGGCCTAAACTAACCGGTTTTTTCAGACTTAACGTTTTGGGGAAAAAAATCTCTCAAAGGAGAAGCTAAAAGCATGAATGTTCAAACGTATTTGGGCCCTTCCAACCAAGATTTGCTTTGGCAATTTTA